ATCAGGATTGGAGGAAGGCTCATTAACAACCTGCAATATGCAGATGACACAACCTTGCTTGCTGAAAGTGAAGAGGACTTAAAGCACTTACTGATGAAGATCAAAGACCACAGATTGAAGTATGTATTACACCTCAACATAAAGAAAACAAAAATCCTCAAAACTGGACCAATAAGCAGCATCATGATAAATGGAGAAAAGATTGACACTGTCAAGGATTTCATTTTACTTGGATCCACAACCAACGCCTATGGAAGCAGCAGTCAAGAAATCAAACAACCCACTGCACTGGGCAAATCTGCTGCAAAAGACCTCTTTAAAGAAAAAAAAGCAAAGATGTCACTTTGAGGACTAAGGAGTGCCTGACCCAAGCCAAATAATTTTAAATCGCCTTATATGCATGCGAAAGCTGGACAATGAATAAGGAAGACCAAAGAAGAATTGATACCTTCGAATTACAATGTTGGCGAAGAATACTGAATATACCATGGACTGCCAGAAGAATGAACAAATCTATCTTAGAAGAAATACAGCCAGAATGCTTCTTAGAAGCAAAGATGGTAAGGCTTCATCTCAGGTACTGTGGACAGGTTATCAGGAGGGACCAATGTGGCTGCAACAGTGGGCTCAAGCATAACAATGATTGTGAGTATGGCGCAGGACCAGGCAGTGTGTTTCATTCTGTTGTACATATGAGTTGGAACCGACCTGATGGCACCTAGCAACAACAATATATTTTCTTAGTCTCTTATTAAACTCTTAAAAAGGGAAGAGAGAGATACAAAGAATTAAAAAGATGAAAAAAGAGATCTTTTTCTGAAAAGTTGAAAGGATTTGGTTTGGGGGGATCAGAACTAGTTGTTTAGCCTCATGTAATTACTAGAATAACTATGGATTTATAAATAAATGTAACAAGTACTCAGTGAATACCTACAGTACCTCACATGTTAGATACTGTGGAGAATACAGTGTAAAACATTGCCCTTGCACTTATGGAACTTATATTCAGTTACAGGGTCATGCAGAATACCAAGCTATGGCAAAATAATAATAATAATATAAAGAAATGTTAAACTTTTTATTAGGTTTAATATAGAGAGACAATATGTTTTATAATCCTATTTAAACGAAAAAGTGAAAGTATATGAGCAAACTAAAAATTTCTATTACTCATATCTTAATTAAATTTACTTTTCTGTAATTCTGCATATATTCTAAGTGTCCTAATATTAAAGGTAACATTGCATTTTTTAGTTATTCCATACTAACCCTAGATTACTCTCAGTAATTATTATTCAATAAAATAATCTAAAAATAACAGCAACTTATATTTTTATAACAAAGTACTCTCATACAATTGACTAATTTGAACTTCACCACTACCCTGTGAGAGGAAGAAGAGGCAGTTATTACTTCTGCTTCTCAAATTAGGATAACTGAGACTCAGAAAGGATAAAGAGTTTGCCAGATAAATCCCAGATAAATTCTGAGATAAGCATCTAGATCTGAGAAGCTAAATAAACTACCCCAGAGAGCCTAACAAGGTCAATATAACTAGTAGACTTCTTAACAAAAAACAAGGCAAATGCATTAAAGCAACTATAACAAATTACAAAGATAAATCTAATTAAACACAGTTGGGGATTTTCAAAAAAGACAGTTAAACATGTTATTAATCATTCTTATTTGCTTACTTTAGAGGTAGTTTTATGCTCCAGACTTACTCCAAGGGTATTTTGGATCCAATCTTTAAAAGCTGGTAAAATCATGCCACTAAGAGGGTATCTAAGGTACAAAGAAGGTAAATGTTAGAGAATGGTATCTTCATTTAAATTTAAAGCTTAGATTCTGCTTCCAGTAATGGTCAAGTAGCCCCTATAAAACCAATCCAAGTGAGATCATTATTCTTTATGAATGATATTTAGAAAATCACTATAGCCGTATTCAGCAATTTTTTTCCACTATAATGTTTTAGCTCTAGTCTGATTCTTCCCTTGCCACTACTCCAAGTGAGAACATTTTTCTGTAATTCTTTATGAATGATATTTAAAAAACCATGGTAGCCATATCCAACAATTTTTTTTCATTACAATGTTCTTGTATCTTCTCTACTTCCCCCCTAAAACTGATGATAGGACAGCCAGATAAGAATATTATACTATAGCTGCTTTATTTTTGATTTTATAAATATCTTATTTACAAAATATTGAAGTATAACATACATAGAAGAAGACTATGGGCAAATAATAAACGTACAGACAGGCTGATTTTTACTAAGTGAACTTCCCATGTAAACAGCATCCTGGTCAAGAAACAACATCACTATTACCCCAAAAGCTCTCCTCATGCCTCTTTCCAGGCACTACCCCCTTTCCCCCCACCAAAGGAACTACTATCCGACTTTTAAAATCACAGGTTAGTCTGGACTGTTTTGTACTTTAAATGAAATCATACACAATGTATTTGTTTGTGTCTGCCTTCTTTTGCTCAATATTGCATTTGTGAGGTTCATCTATGTTGTTACACGTAGTTGCAGTTCATTCATTCCACAGGTGAATTCCACTGTATGAATATATAATTTCTTTACCCGGTGTTTTGCTGAAAAACAATTGGGTTGTTTATAGTTTTTGGTGCATGCAAGGACATTCTTGAATTTATTTTCTGGAGAACATAAACACGTTTCTGTTGGGTACATAACTAGAGTAAAATTTCTAGGCCACAGGCTATGCATGTGTTTAGCTTTAGTAGATGTTGCTCAACAGTTTTCCAAAATAATTACCACAAACAATGTATGAGAGTTCTAGATGTTCACCTCCTCCCCATACTTGGTGTTGTAGTTCTTTTTAATTTTAGACATTCTAGCGATACCTTGGAGCCCTGGTGGCACAGTGGTTAAGAGTTCAGCTGCTAACCAAAACGTTGGTAGTTCAAATCCACCCACTGCTCCCTGGAAATCCTATGGAGCAGTTCTACTCTGTCTTACAGCGTCGCTATGAGTCAGAATCGACTCAACGGCAATGGGTTTCAGCGATACTTCATTATGGTTTTAATTTGAATTTCACCATTACTTATGGGAGGAGCCCTTGTGGTGCAGTGTTTAAAGCTCTTGGCTGCAACCAGAAGGTCGGCAGTTCAAACCCACCAGCCACTCTGTGGGAGAAAGATGTGGCAGTCTGCTTCTGTAAAGACTTACAGCCTTGGAAACTCTATGGGGCAGTTCTACTCTGTCCTACAGAGTCGCTGTGAGTTGGAATCGATTCGACGGCAGTGAGTTTGGGTTGGGGGTTATTACCTATGGAATTGATCATTAATCCATATGTCTTTGATGAACAGAAGTTCTATATTTTAATGCTATCTAATTTATTTTTTTTCCTTTAGAATTAATGCTTTTTATTTCATGCTTTTTGCCTATCTCAAACTCAGAAAGACATTCTGTGTATTCTTCTAGCAGTTTTATAGCTTTAGCTTCTACATTTAGGCCTATAATTCCTTTGGAATTAATTTATGTACATAGCATGAAGTAGTGTCGACATTAATTTTTTTCCAAGATGATAACTTAAATTTTCCTATTGCTGTTTTTGTTTTGTTGTTGCTGTGTGCACATGCATGTGTGTGCTGAAGTGGAGAAGAGATCTTTTCCAGATCAAAAAATAATAATAAAAATATGCATGGGACACTAACTTGAAATGTAAACTTCATTTAATTACAATAATAAAAATAAATCAATATTGAAAATACACTAACATTTATATTTTAGAAAGCTATTTAAGTGTTCAAAAAAGCTACTTAAAATGTTCAAAGTGGAATACTTTTGGTCAAGATTACCTCCTACTCATTTCATCAAAGCTTGAGTACCTGCAAAAGCTTTTAGCAACTAGCCTAAAAAGATTACTTTGATTTTATGAAGATGGAAAAAAAAAAAAAAAAAAGAAAGAAACAGTGGATGACATATAAACTGAGTCAAAATTAAATAGGTTTATAATAATGCAGAATTCAATATTAAAGGCTAGGTCCAATCCAAAGGAGCTTTTACTTGGAAGTGACAGAAAGCACTCATTTTTATCACATAATTTTAAGTTACACAGCATGGGCTCTGAGCAGATGTTCCATCTTCCATTAACTTCACATTACACAATAAAAATGCCACCCGAAAATTCTCAAACCAATCTTGACGTCTTCCAATAAAAGAAAAATGGTGGAGGAAAGAAAAAAAAAGAAAAAGAAGAAATCTTTTAATTAAACCAGTTCCTTTTTTTAATATTAAAAAATCACAAGTGTATTAATCAAACTGAAATGGTATGTCTGAATTTAAGTGTTAAACAATAAATACCTTTTTCATAAACCTAAGGAAATTAGAATGAAAGAAAGGATGGGACTCATAGCTAAAACAACTAAAGGTAGATATTTAGCATATAAATAGTCTTCATTTTAGCTGAGATGAAAGTATAAACTCTCGGAAGCTACTATGTGTTAGTACTGCCCTTTAAAAAAAGACCAATTTGGAACTATTAGGTTTTAAAGCTAGGCCTTTACATTTTAACTGTACAATTACTTTGGATCTCTTTAAAATATAGTAGGCTGTTGATATTCATGATAGAATCATCCTAAGACCTTTGTGAATCCCTTAATTCACAAATAACATATTTCTCCCCATAAAATAAAAAGGTGACCACCTTTAAGATACTTGAACCTACAGATACAGGGTTGGTGTTACTGTCATGTGTAAAATTTAAAAATAAATCCTACCAGTAAAATAAACTCAATATACCTCAACCTCTGGATGTACAATATTTCAGACTCTGAAGAAACATCTTGCTTGGCAGAACCTTGGCTTTAAGACTTTGTTCCATTATCTGTTTTAATTCCAGCATAAAACTTACAATTTAAAAAGAGTTCCATGTCACAATATAAGTATTTTAAGTGTACTTTTTCTTGCCTCTAATGACCTTGGATTTGCAAAATAGTAAAGGAAGCCTGAATTAATAATGCAAAGCCTGTCATAATGACAATGGCTCCACAAAGCCCAAAAGATGTATCAAGTAAAAGTGAAAAACATGGAGTCAAAGAAAAAAATGGGTAAAAAGAAACATTATAAGAAAAGTTAAAGGAATTAAGAGTTACTAAACTTAAGAAACAGCTAAAGGATGACTTGATTACTACATTAAAATAATTTGGATTTACAACCAGATCTATAAATAAGCATTTATTTAACACCTGTAAGAATGTACTAAGCATTGCAGGACACAGAAAAGGTATTAAAACATGATCCCTGTTCTTAAGGAACTTAAAACCTAGCTTAGTCAAAAACACAAAGACAACTTTTACCAGAAATGTGAGAAAGGGAAAACTAAGAGCCTATACCAATAGTTGCAACAATATGATTATTACTGAACAGATTTTTAATATAACTGAAGATTAATTTGAGAACTTTAAGAAGTGGTTTCTGTTGTAAAACATCTTAAGGTGAGATCAATTTACCACCTTTCTTTAGAAGTAGACTGTAGAACATATAGAACCAGAACAAGTTTTCAAGACCAGTGAAATCAGCCTATCTGGAAAAAAAACACCTTTTGAACATAAATACCCAAAAAGGAAGTGCACATCAGGATTTATGGTGATTAAAGACAAAGTGACTGATTCTACTCTGTGGCAGTGCATAGACAGCATAAACATTAGTAGACTGAACCATCTCTCCTCAAAGTGAGTTCCACAACTGCTAGCCAATTTAACAGCTTTTCTGTAATCAGATAAAATGTTAAAGAAAAATTATGCCATTGAAAATACAAAGTGTAACAAACCCAAACAAATTCTATTTATACAATAACTTGTGCTTTGTAAGCACCAATTAATGTATGATATCTTTAAAGTCACAAAATAATGACAGCTTTCAAAAATTTTTAGTTTATAGAAATCAACAGCATTAGCTGAAGTTACTTAAGTATTGCCTGATGCTGCTTAATCCCAATTCATCTATACCTAAAAGGAGTAAGAGTGGCAAGATTATAAATCTAAGGATTTATAAAATGACAAATTATAAACTTGTTCAGAAGACAGATTATGTTCAGGAAAAAAAACTACCTACTTTTCCCCTAAGACCTATAATAGCTTAGAATAATTGTTTCTAACTTAATAGCTGAGTTCGAAATGTCAAAATCACCCTCCCAAAAATATGTATACATAATCAATTACATTTACTTATAAAAATCTCCTACTTTTTTTTTTAACATTCTTTGGATCAGAAATAGGGGAACACCCTACAAATTTTCACTGAGAGTCACTCTTGGTTTCTGGCACCTAAGGATTTCCCTTTTTTTCTTTCTAGCTCTGTTATATTTCTTTCTTGTGGTATTTTATCCATCATCTTCTTGTGTGTTTACAGTGCAAAGGGTCTGTATTCGTTCAGGCCACCACACTGTCAGAATACAAAGTGTGTACAAACAATTTCAAAAATTGTCCTTACAATCTAATAATATTAATACATAAGCTGGCTGAATTAATACTGTTCAGCCAAATCAGTATTTTCTTGTACGCATCCTTTGTAGTCACAAATTCTGTTTTTTTTCTTTTAAGAGTATCACAATCTTCCCATGCTTCTGCCTTTGAAAGGAACTTTTGCCACAGGATAATTTTTTACAATATGACTAACTCTACCGTTGCTGGTGAATACAGCGTAGAAGGCTTCTGCAGAACAAGATCAGGGATGAGTTTGATTATCTGAAGAAGTAACTCACAAGCACAGTATAACAGAAACAGAAAAAGAATGAAGCTTAAAAACACTTGGTTTC